CACATCCAGCAGACACCCCCCTTCTTTCTGGGGATCTGACACCCACCCCACTCCCTCCCAGGTCTCTGGCTTGCAGCAGCAGCCTGTTGCGACCAGACCTGGGCCTTGAGCAGAGGGTCCCCTGTGCTCTGGGGGCCAAGTGCTGTGTTGTGGACGTCCAAGGTCCTCCTCGGAAAATCTTTAGAGACAAGAAGGCCCCCCCAATCGCAGGGCTGTGCCCAGTTTCACCATGCAGGCTGCTGGCTCTTGCTTCCAGGAAGGATGTGCAGTGGCTGGCTGGACTCCACACGTGTAGACCAGTGTGGTGAAGGGCAGGGGGGAGAGGAGAGGAGAGGAGAGGGACAGGGTTAGAGTTAGGAAGCAGCTGTCCTCCAAGCCAGCAACACTTACAGAACTGAAGAAGAGTGCATGGAGTTTCACGTGAGGGCATGGAAAAGGCTCGTCCAACCTGCATGTATGCACAATGAAGTGCTGGGTTTGGGTGTCCTCAGGAACAAACATTTGAAAAATTACTTTCACCAGAGGGCTGTGTTGACTTTCTAAGGATCTGGCAGGCAGAAGGACAAAGTTGGCAACTGAAGCATCAATTCCTTGTTTAGAAGGGTAGAAAGGCATTTTTCATGCCAGGCACAAGCACTTTAAATTTCTGGATATGGGATTTGCTTTAGAAGAGTCAGTCAGGCTCAGGCTTTCCTTCTCTAAGTGTGTCTGTTAACATAGATACTAAGTCTTGGTACTAACAGTAGTAGACATACTGGTCTTGTCTACACATTCATTAATGTGCCATAATTACAGGGCATTTAGTTTAGTGTCTGTAATCACAGGGACTGACTTAAAGCGCCGTAATTGGTGCTACTATATATTAGTGCAGGCACACTTTTTAAGTGACACTAGCACACAGTAGACTAATTTTGTGCATTAACATTTTTTGTGCCACATTAACGTGGAGTAGAAATACTCTGCTGTGCCGTTAGCATCTTGTGTAGATGTGCGTGTTGTGTAAATTTAACCACCCCTGCACAGATTTCTGCAGTTGACTACTTTACTGGTGATGCCATGCAGAGATGAAAATAGGAAGTCAACAGTAGCAGGTTACACAAATGAATTAGTAACCACATGTGTTTCGTTCAAGGCAAATAAGTAAACTCAAATGTAGGCATAAGATTAGCTACCTATCAGCAAGTTGTTCAGGTAGAGCAATGTTTCCCAACCAGTGTGCCATCAGAAATGAACTGGTGTGTTCCAGAATTTTGTCATGGCAATGAGCTACAATAGGTATGAAGGTGGGGAATGCCTTAACGGGTGTGCCATGGAAAATTTGTTGTTAACATACATGTGCCTTGGGCTGGAAAAGGTTGCGAAACACTGAGGCAGGAGTTTCCAGTTGCTGAAGCCTTCACCGAAGATGGTAAAGGGTTTTTTTGGCAGAGGAAAAGTACAGGAAGATGAGCAGATTACATTGATTATGCTATGTTTAATCCATTTTACCTTGAGTGCATCTACATATATTGCTTGTTAGACTTAGGAAAGAAATCACTTAGAAATTGTTCTCAACTGACGGGAAACGTAGAGCCTGACGTCAGACCAGCACAGCTAACTACCTCTCTCAACTGATAGGATAACGAAGAAGTGGATGAGTGGCCAGCAGAATCCCCAGGTTCATTTTTACCTCAAGCTTACCTAGTCAGGTTCAACTACTGCAGGAGACTGCTTCCTTCAGGTTCTCATGCCAAGAAAAATCTGATCTTTAAACTTTTTGGATTCAGTGTTTGGGGAATGTACCCACTTGCTGGGGCCATGTTTCCTCCAAGATGTTTAATACAATTAGCATACATACATAGAAGTGATGCAAGATTATGATGTCCTTCAGTGTAAATGCAAGTAGTGCTTTGTACTAACGTTTCCCTCTTTCTAACCTTGATGCTAACTGCCAAACAACTCCAAAAAACTAAAAATGCATTGTTTATCTGCCCAAAATCCGATGATTTTCAGTACAAACTCCTTTGCTGAGAAAGGTATCCAACCTTCCAACCTCTGAATTATTTGATGAGGCACAAGGACCCACTAGTCCTGGGTTCTTCAGCCTTTGGAAACATTTAAGGACAATTTAGTAAACGTTTTAGGAATTCAACACGAATCTTAATATTTCAGATTTCCAACCAACTTGCTTTCAGGAAACAGCACAACCCTGCTCAAGCTCCTAGCCTCAGGGCCTAAGATGCCATTTCTCTCTGCTAAGAGCACTACCTGTAGGCTTCTCCAGTAAATCAGCCAGATAGAACTACTATCACTCCTAAATTAAGGTAGCGTGACAAGTGTCAGTTTGCATTGATCATACAATATAGGATGGCTGGGAGACAGCAAATTTAGACTCATTTTGGTAAATGTTATTAACCCTCTGCTCACATTGCACAGGCAAGGAGCCTGTCATTTTGTAGATGATTCTCTCTCCCAGCTCACATACACACATCAACTACTGAAATGCACTACCTTTTCAACAGCAAATGCAACAGTTTGGGACAGGAAGTGATGACAACTATGTGACTGGGGCAGAGGATAAGGAGTGTTGAGAATCTGAACACAACTAATCCTGGGTTGTAATTCTGTGCTAAATGTTGATGAGTATGTGAGTGCTCTACAAAAGAAAAATAGAGAAAATTGTTTGAATTAAAGAACTTTCTTCAAATTATTAATTTACAGCATAGTTGTTACTTCATTCCCACCATTAAGTAATGCCTTCCTCGAAGCACATGATTTCTTTAAATCATTTATTTTATATGTAAACTGACAAAACAATATTAATGATCCAAGGAAGATCAGGGCAACCAGGAAGTCACGAGTCATTGAGGAGGTTTTTTATGCGAGAGCAGAAGAAAAAGTACAATAACTTTCAAGGGAAATGTTATGTTGCACTGAACTGTAAACTATATGTGCCAATCTGAATAATAAAAGAAAAAAATGCATTAAAAAAGGAAAGAGTTAAAAATTCTGGGCAAATAAGTTTTTTATTTTAAATTATTCCAATTTTACACCTGTGTTAGAAAAAGGACATACACAGACTGGTTAAGTCAAATACCCCCCCCCCCAAAACTTTGCCAAAGAAAACCAAGGAACCAGTGTTTCTATGCAGTTTAATTCCACTCACATTCAATCACCCCCATTCCAGAAAATAAGCAAACTATAGGATAGGATCCTCACCTCATATCTTATCAGCACCATTGCATCGGTATTCGTATATTTTCAATGTACAGAATCGTTAGCCTCATCATGTTTCAAGGCAACATATTTCAACTTTAAACCAGGGCTTGAAATTACTCTCCTAAGGGCAGTAAAACAGCTCTAATCAGTGTCTATCACTGCTAAAAATGGTGAAATCCTTGCCAATGTAAATTTTCTTTCTTTAATAGTACATTTACTGCTGGTAAAAAGTGTGCTTGATGTCAGCAAAGACTTTTTTTAATACAAAGAACAGTTAAATATATAGGCAGGGACAGTGGAGGTTTCTCTTTCACTCCCTGAACAATATTCCCCCACTCACAGGATAAGAGCTTTTCAATCTCAGTGGACCAGTCAGTTCTGGCCTAAAACCATCAAACAAGGTTATGACTTTTGTACTGTGGATACCACTAAAATGTATTTCATGTAGGCCATCAAAATTCATCCCATGTCTTGCAATTTTTTTTTAAAACTACGAAACCCATAACCCATACGTAATATTTTAGTAGCGTAAAAATAACTTGTAAAAAAAC